CATTCACAGACCGTTTTAACTTGAGTCATACCACTATGCATATTCATTAGTTCACGATTCAGTTAGCAGTGCTGCAAAGTAGAATGAAATATCCTAAATATTGTGACAGAGAGACACTGTCACAGATGGATCTATACTACCTCAGGCCCATTATGGTTGGGGCTAAAGTAAGAAAATGTATGATTATGGAACTTCTAGATGGCCGGAAATGGCACTCTTGACTAAAAATTTAAGTAGAAATTTCTTTTTTCTCAATTTATTTTTTAATTTTGAAAAAAAAAAATTCGAGAGTGGGCGGCCCCCCACTTACCTTGAATCTGCCACTGTAAACCATAATACTGAATACTGCCACATTTTAGAAAGACCTTTGCAAATGAAAGACAAATTACCCTTTAAATAAAGAACTTTGCCAATAATTTTGATTATAATGTTGAGAGAAGCAGGTAAGGTACCGTATTCCTAAAGAATAATACAGTAAAATCGGATTATACCATGGAGATATACAATTTTATATTTCCATGATTATACCATACATTCTAAACATTTGTAGATGAATGTGACATTCCTTATTCGTCGCGTATTGACTTATTTTAGTGATTAACATGGTCACTTTTTAATATAATTTATTCCATTACCGGTGCTGTGATGTATTGGGGGCGGATACAGCGCAGGATGGGCTCAGAACTCCTGTATAAATAACATAGTTTAAATGACTTAGAGAAACCGTCTTTCACATTCCCATATTTTTAAAGCCAACAATAATATTATTCTCATAAATGATCGACGCCACCCATAAAGAAGAAAAAAATACTTCTGATTCAGATTATCTGTACACTTTTTTTTCTTACTAAAAGTACTCTAACAAGGGTGGTAGAGGGTCCGGATGTCGACGACAATCATCCCATATGGATCCGCCCAGAAGTATCATTTAAATAATAATTCTGTGAAGCCCAGTCGGCCAAACGCTGCGAGTTTTGCCATAATCTAAAACATAATATTGAATGCTGCTACGTCTTAAACTATAATTTTAGAAAGACCTTTGCATACAAATGAAAGTAAATTACCTATTTAAATAAAGAATAACATAAGTCAATAAATTGCTTAAAATGTTAAAGCTGATACGATAGGCCTCTGATAAATAATATGGTAAAAATGGATTGTACAATACCGTACCGTACATAAATGAAATGTTATGATGGTGTATATACATACTTTATTCGTCATGTATTGATTTATGTTAGTGATTAACATATTCATTTAATAATATATTTTAATTCATTATATTTAGAGAACAAACGCGTTTGTATCAACCGCACTCACTGAAGTGGTACGCCACTCACATACTGCATACTAAATATCGTACTCGCGCGAATAAGCACCCGGACACTTTTTGAGGGGCGCTTAAAGCTGGTTTTCCACTAGGCGAATTTATTCGAGCGAATCAAAGCGAAGGCCCAGAAAATGTTTGACAACTTATGGGTTTCAAAGGCTTATTTAATTGATTTTAGAGTCTACTAATATGTACAAAATACATATAATTGTTTTTCTCCCCAACGAATTATGGGTTTTCTTGCCGACGAAAGAGTGGGGGGGGGTCTGGGCGCAGCTATCCCCGAAGGGGGCCCTGGTGCCATCCTTGTTTCTTACTATTGAAACTGCATTTCAATGTTCGGAACTTTGTATACAACTTTACCATTATCCTAATTTGTAAGGCTGTTGTATTTATCGCACGGTACATCTTAGTACAGTATTCTTATTCTCTAAATTTATCGTATAGTAGTGTCTTGTAAGTTGCTGAATTTCAAATATTGTTTGAACTTGCAATTGAATTTTGTGTGCTTTTTTGTGCAAATAAGTTAATAACATGATCAAAGTTAGCAATGTTGTCTGCTTCATCACGCTCAGTACTAAGTAGTGCCAAAGCAGATAGTCTCGCTTTTCCCATCGTGGCTCTGAGATAAGGCAGGTTGAGCTTTAGTCATGTAGTCATTACTGAATAGGATAAGAAAACGTTTGAAATGGACTGAAAAGAAATCACAATCTATAACTTTGCCAATAAAAACAACTACATTCGGTTTCTTATTATTAACTGGGAAATATTCATCATTTTCGTCGTGTTTTTCTAAAAAGTGCTTATTTTTTTACTCTCATTCTCCCATTTCAGCGCCCCCTCAAACCCGGCGCCCGGGGCACGTGCCCCCTTGACCCCCTAGCTACGCCACTATCTATGTGTGTTATAATTTGATTTGATTTAATTTGATTTGAATTTATTCGGAAAATAACTTAAATACTACAAAATATGAATACAAAACTTAAATATGTAAATTAAATAGGTATATTTTAAAAAAAAACCTTTTCCTGAATAACCCAAAAAGCTTTGTGGGCTTATTTCCATTGAGGTCCATATACTCTAATATAAATAACCTAAATTAATTATACAAATATTATTTCAATCAATTAAATACGCAATAAAACGATTACATTTACAATAACAGCATCTTAACTAACTTACTTATTTTAAAGAATAAAAACCTTTAACTTTCATTTGAAAATTTACTATGTTTTCAATAACTTGTATATCATGAGGAAGGTCATTCCATTCCTTTATACCTTTGTAACAAAATGTATTACAAATCTCTCCATTCGATTTCAATAATAGAGTATATTATACAAGAATACCAAAGCATAAGTCTATAATAATTCAGGCCTATAAAGATAGATTTTCGATGGTAGGCCTATCTTAGTAACAAAATTTTCATAATCCGAGAGCACGAAACTCTTATTTCTGAGTGTAGGTTTCAGGGTCAGGAATTAAAAGGTTGGGCTACAATCACTAAACTGCAATATGTAAAAACAATACACCGGCGGGCAACAACCCCGTATTTCCGAGTCAATATATCGGGGTTGGCTCAGGATTTACAAAGCTTTTAACTTAACTACAGTAGTACAACTAACATCTACAACTACATCCTCCAATGGAGGACACCAATCCCATTTTCGGATCTGGGGAGGGGGGATCAGATGGGTCCTGTCCTGAAAATTTAAAAAAAAACGGGAAAAAAATAAAATAAAAAAACAATTCTCTGTGTACCGGTACACACATAGGCCTACTTACTGTAATAAGAATGAGAAAAAATTTCCTGACCGTTAGGGGAAAACCTAGAATTTTGATTAAAAGACACTTCAGAAGTCGGGAAAACTGATTTCTTGCCATTTGTACATCTGTTATGTACTGTACATACACACATAGTAAGCTACTAGTATTTACATTAATAAGAATGAGAAATTTTATTACCTGACCTTTTTCAAGCGGAGGAACACCTTAAAATTTAAAGAACTTAAAAGTCATTAAAAGACACCTCAGAAGCCGGGAAAGCTCATTTCCTGCCATCTAGTGATGAAATTTTTCCCGGGGAGGACCCCCGGACCCCCTTTCTCTTTGGGGTTATCCATCTATGGAAAAAAGAATACGTAAGCAACTCAATTCTTTTTATTATGTACGTATACACACATAAATAGGCCTATTTAATGTAATAAGAATGAGAAAGTTTACCACACCGTTTTCAAGAGGGGGAAAACCTTGAATATTGAAGAACTTAAAAGTCATTAAAAGACACCTCAGGAGTCTGGAAAGCTCATTTCCCGCCATCTAAGAATCAAAATTTTCCCGGAGGAGGACCCCCGTACCCTCCCCCCTTTTTTTTGGCGTTTTTAGGGAAAAGTACAGTCTGTCTCTTATACACATCTAGATGTGTATAAGAGACCTGTATTCCGGTATTTCTGCGTCAGACCATGGTCAGACATACTATGGATTTTGGGCTTCCTAACACTTCTTTTAATGTCATTAAGTGTATGTCTTACTGTGTGTAAGTTAATATGCAGAACAAAGTGTAGGCTTATACATTTTATTCAAACTTTATGTTAATCACTTCTAACTAAACTCACTGTAGGTAACGAATATAACTTCTATAACTAAATACATTTTTATAGTTAACCAATCAGTACCGGTATTTTGGCCGTGATTCGGACGTTTATAACGCACTTTACTCTAACCCCGCTTCCTGCGAGCACTAGACGAAGCCACGCCGTCTGCTGATTGTTGGTGGTAGGCTAAACGGATTACCATAAAAACGATCCATTGCGCGCGTCGTGGGGTTGCGTTATTAGTAGAAATCACGTCTACCGAAGACCGTCGGGCACGGTGAGTTCCCGGCTTTAAGCATTTTAGGCTAAGTTTCAATTTACCAAAGCAATAAAAATAACAAATTGGAAGAAGTATATTATATCCACCAACCATTATAACGCTCTAGAAAAGTTGGCAATCAACAAAGCACAGAAAATTTACGCATACTTCTTTAGATTCATAGGTGAAAGCACTTGTTGCCAACATGTATTTATGTGAGAGTACAGTTATAGAAGATGTGTATTATTTTTTAACATTTAAATAATAAGTTACATTACGATCACGTCTTTAAAAAATCGTGTTCCTAATGCATTGTATAGACTGTATTAACTATGAAAGTTTTCAATAACCAACGTAAAAAAGTATACATCAAATTTTCCACCTTGTCATAGACAGGCCTGGACGACCCCCTGTCGTCCGACGCCACGACTAGGTCATCGGATAAATGATAATATTGCCCATCCAAATTTGATTGCTAATTCCTAATATTGTTGTCTAAAAGCACAATTTGGAGCATACCTAGCCACAAAAACTCTCCCCGTGAAACCTAACAGGGATTTTTGTTATTCCGGGCCGTTGACCGAGACTCTATATTTGGCTCTTGGTTCAGACCCCTCCGTCGGACATGTCGGACCCCTTGTCGGAAAATTTCTGGCGCCACTGCTGCTTTATGTACGGAGTGGTCAGCTATACTACATGTAACAATAACCACAATATTTATTGGTACGATTTCTATATCCCCAATCTTTAATAGGGTTATCATTGCCGGAGTTGCAAACACTTCTCTCATGTGTTATGGGGTAAATTACCTCTCTACTTTGCACCCAACCAGCACTACAGCAGTCGTATCCTAAACGCTGCGCATTCTCTACCTGTGTTCTGTTTGCCAATATTCCCCCGTAGCCTATGCACATAAACTCAGCTTCTTGGTAAGTAAGGCTATATTTCTGAGGAAAACCAAAATCACCACATACATTCATTACTCGGTGAGGGGGAAATGGATCTGGGGAGGTGATGCTATGGTTTGGGAGAGGAATGTAACAAAAGGAAAAGTATTTCATCATTGGATCAATCAATTTAATCGCATTTCCTGTCGGATATAACCAGAATTCAGAAGGGGAGTTTGATCCAGTACACGGATTACCAGCCAACCATCCTAAATACCAGCCTTTTACGCAAAAAATCAACATCTAGCGAGTAAAAAGTATTATAAACCTCAAGTGGAGTCGCCAGTCGGCCACCGAAACGGTTACTGCAACACACCACAGATTCATTGGCACTCAACTTCTTTGACTTGCCCTTTGTGAGTCTAACTATTCGCTGGGTGTTTGGGAAAAAGTCAACATTTTCAAAAGATGTATTGTATTCTCTATAACAATAGCATCCACTATGATACGAATCACATGGAATAACATTGCTTCGTTGATCTGGCGATTTCAAGGTGCACTTGTCATCCGAAATTTCAGTGAAAGCAATCTCTCCACTGATAAGCCAGCCCTCGTTACAGTTGTCCAGGCGAGGTTGAAAAGCGTAGTACAACTGTCCATACGATGCGAGTGCGCCTAACTGATTAGTACATACCATGCTGGCATCGTTATAACTAACATCAGCGGATATAAAAGTTACACCATCTAAAATTAGATCAATATTAGATTCAAAATCAGAATATATTTTTAATATTTATTCCTGCTGTATACAATAATTTCAACAGAGTATTTTCTCATATGTTCATTTTGTTATTTAGAGAAGTTCATTAGAAAATGAATAAAAATATATTTAAATTCTACAAATCGGCATTTACACTGATATGCTTACATTTCATGTTACAGACTGTTTTTAAATAATTTTCGGCAAAAGGGGTTTAACTCGCCATAAGTGTACAGTCATTACACGATAAGCAATCATGGTTACAGAATCTACTTTATAATAGAAAATTCAATTTTGGTTTTAATTATTCTAGATTTTATAAATGAACGATACACAGTCTGACATTAACACCGTTTCCTCGCCCAGGCCATCTATTTATCCACCCATTCATTCGTCCATATAAACATCATCCACTCATTCATCTATATTTCCTTATAATTATTATCAACACGAATAAAGGAGGCGATACAAGGTGACAATTTGAAACACTATAATAATTATTTAACGATTACTTTAAGTGAGTAATACAAATACAATTAAAAGCAATTTAAAAAGTGGTTAGTTGAATACATTTAGGCCTATCCGCAAAGTGGCATAAGTTTGTAATAGCATCAGTAGGATAATATATCTTTATTTTTATTATTATTACAATTACTATTATTATTATTATTATTATTATTATTATTATTAGTGGTGGTGGTGGTAGTGGTAGTAGTAGTTGTAGTAGTAGTAGTAGTAGTAGTAGTTAGTAGTTAGTAGTAGTTAGTAGTAGTTAGTATTAGTAGTAGTAGTAGTAGTTAGTAGTAGTTAGTAGTAGTAGACCTATGAGTAGTAATACTTTATTCTTATTTTGTGTCTGAGGAGGTCAGAAAAAGAAATCTAAATTGCACTTTGGTTTTTTTTTTTTAATGATAAAGATATGTCGTAAAATAACAATAGAAAATATTTTTAGATTGCATTTAGAAGCGATATTGGTAAATATTTTCTTACCTTTTCTATGAATTGAAATGAAAAGATTTTCTGAAAGTGTTCTGTTGGTGAATTTTCCCGTATTAGCTTGTTTATTTGACACAATCGATCCCGGAGACTGTAGTTTACAGACCAACAGTAGATTTTGTTAGAACAAGCCAACAAACACTGAACACGATTAATGTTCTCCAGTTCATATGTCCAGCCTTGCAGGGCGTGTTCAGAAACAACAATATATTGGGCGGAACTTGCAATATAAATGTTATCAGTAAAAACTGACGAAAAGATGACTATCTTTGCAAAGAAATACATAGTGATACAGTTTGTGTTTCCAATTCACTTCTTAAGTCCCTCACGTTTGGTCCGCAGTGGCTATACGGGAGCGCTAGTAAAATATCAAACTACAAACACAATCTGTATTGGTTCTGAGGCATGGTATTACTTAATAATATACATTTAAATGTCGTTGGTTTAAGCATTTCAGATTTGAAAATAGGAAATTGAAATTGTGTTTATATTGGCAATCTCTTTTGAAAATGATCAATATATAATACTAAATAAAATGAAGAGATTGTACGTCATTCGCTGCAAAAAACACAATTGAAAACACAAAATGTTTTTAGATTAATGTTGATTACTTCAGTTAATACTCTATAGATCGTCAAACACAATAAAAATGGTCTTAGGAAGCATTTTGAAATTATTAAACATAACAATCACTAGAGTGGTTTTAATTACTATATTGGCCATAATAACTATAATGCATGAAAACATATATAAATATAAATTTTAAATAGCAATTCTGTATATATAATCGTTTAAACACTTTTAAACACGTTTAAACGTTTGAACACGATGAATATATATATNGGACCTGCTCGACGGAGGGCTGTCTCTTATACACATCTAGATGTGTATAAGAGACAGATATATATATGTGTGTGTGTGTGTGTGTGTGGGTGTGTGTGTGTGTGTGTGAGAGAGAGAGATACAATTACTGTACGTCTATATTGAAGACAAATGCAGAAGCACTTCATATCAATAATGGTTAAATATCATTACGTGGCATTAATTTGTAATTAGCATCTGCAATGTAATAATATTATAACATATACAAAAAAAAAAGGTCAGGCAAGAATGGTTAGAAATAATAGACCAGATGAGTCCTGATTCATAAGAGAATCTACTTATAAAGAAAAAAATCAATTTTGTACTTAAATGTGATGCATTTCTTTCACAAAATTTATCCCGTAAACAGTCTTACATCAGTCTTACATTTAGACTTAAGCAATTCATTTCTTTCATTCATTCACCTACCCATCCATCCATCCATCCATCCACCCTTCTATTTTCCATCTATCAAATTAATATAACACACACACACATATATATATATATATATATATGATATATATCTAACGATAGGCGACATAAGCCTTTATCTAGACATAGATTATTCGAATTCAGACTTGGTTTTAATTGTCTGATAAATAACATTTCATGGATAAGCCACTCAAATTTGTTCCTCCATTTCTTGAGAATGCTGAAACAGGAATCAATACTGCTTGAGCTGATATTATGGTCCTTAGCGTGTTGTCCTAACAACAATCTTTTATGTTCAGCAATACGTTGATGGAGGTGTCGGCTTGTGTATCCGACATAACTTTTAAGTTTGTACACAACACACTGCGGATTTATGATTTGAGGTTTTCTTTCCGTTTTCTTCGTGTCATCTCTTATTTTCCTGCTTGTTAAAATAGGAAAAAATGTTTTTATCTATCTTGTGGCTTAGTTGGCGTAGTTGACGCTTTACTGAGTTGGCAGATTACTCATGGGCGGATTTGGGGGAGGGGGCAGCGACCCCCCCCCCTCCGTATAACACAATTATTTTTTTTTTTATTAGATAATTGAATGGATACACAATTCCATAGAATACATTTATGAGCCTTTGCATGTTGTCAAATATTATGTTGTGAGTAGATGAATTATTACTAATTTAATGACACATGTCATAGTTGCATTTTGCAGGTACCCTTTTAAAAGACATACACCTATTATTTTTTTTATTTATTTGTTACTGAAAACTACCATGCTAGATAGTCAAAATCGACTTGTGAGTAGATGAATTATTACTAATTTAATGACACATGTCATAGTTGCATATTGCAAGTACCCTGTATATTAAAATTTCTTTTAAAAGACATACACCTATTATTTTTTTTATTTGTTACTGAAAACTACCATACTAGATAGTCAAAATCGACTCAATACAACCTCATATTCCTCAAATGTGCTGGGCTTCAAGGGGCCTTCGCCCCCTTGGACCCCCACCAGGGGCTCTGCCCCCGGACCCCGCCGGGGGCCCTAGGTGGCTCCCCCTGGCCCCAGCCTAATGCTGCTCGCTTTGCTCACAGACTGTCTCTTATACACATCTAGATGTGTATAAGAGACAGACTCTAACTTTTTTTTCTGGCAGGCTGCATCCGCACATGCCCTCGGTGCTTCGTACCTTGGCTGGTCGTCCATCTTTACTTTGGCGCCCCCACTTTTGCTAAATTCTGTATCCGCCCCTGTTTCTGGTCTTTGAAGGGTAGGATAATTCGGATGGGTATTTCCCTCTCGTCAGCTTGACAATTATTGCATGTATTATCAGTCTTTAGACGATTAGACGCGATGAGGTCGTCCGGGTATTCTAGACGTTTGAAAATCCTTCATAGGTTGTCACATTCCTCATTGAATAAATGGCTAGATGATGAAATTTTGTAGGCCCGATTCAACATGGTAAATATAAGTGTCTTGTTGTGCTTGTTGTCTACATGACGTCTATAATGTAGACAACAATCCGGTGTCCAATATGGTTTCCTATCAACGCGTGTGTGCAATTTGGTATAATATTTAGTAATTTGCATTTCTAGGAAAGGAATTGAATTGTTCGCAGCAGTTTCCATATAGTGAAGGTTATGGCAGGATGAATAATATGGTTGAGCAATTCCAGAAATTGAGTGGTGGATTCTGCATTGGGCATAAATACAAGAGTATCATCGACGTATCGCTTGTAGTATTTGGACATTTGAGTGCTAGATTCAAGTCTTTCCTCTATGTTGCAGATAATGCATTTTCCATAAGTGGACCTAAGGGTGATCCGATTGCTACTCCATCGACCTGTTCATACAAGTTGCCTTGAAATTGAAAAAGCTGGTCTTGAGTTGCAATAAGAAGAGTATGAGATCTGGCTTACTTTGAGTCCATACGTGACATTAAACCAGTTGTCAGTGAAAGCCTTATCAGCAATAATTTAAATTGTCTCATCCATGGAACATTAGTAAATAAGGAGGAAACATAATAAATGATAGGCCTACTAATGTCATCAACGTATATTGAATTTGATTATTTAAATAATTGTTTGTATTGAATAATAATTATTAATTGAATAAATCTTAATAATTTTATTGTAATGTAATTTAATGTTTAATCTGTAAATTTTGTATTGTGTACTTCTTTTGTAATGTTTATTTGTCATTGTTTTATAAAATGTATCTGCAATTCAGCTTTTGCTGCAAAAGAATGAGATTCTATGGATTTTTATTATATTTATATTATATATTTTCTGAATAAAGATACCATGATAATTATATAGAAACTGCAAGCGGAATAATGCAATAAGTAATATGAATTGGTGATTCAAGCTCCAGGTAGAATCTGAGTTCCTTTTATTCAAGTACTGAAACGCTTAAGGTGCGATTATGTCTAAACAGCGCCACCATCCAGCTTTAACCATCATCTGCGTCTCACAAAGACCGTGCGCATCATGTAGCACGTTAATTGCTATGGTATTGATTTTACAATAATACTTTCAAGTGTTGTTTATGTACAGTATATAGCTATTAAGTATATAATGTTCTTCGTTTAGAAAAAGTACATAGACCAAAAACACAAAGTATTATTCTAAAATTCATTTTATTTTCCAA